GAGGAGCAGTTCCTTATGCAATACTATTCACCCACCAAAACTCAATACGCAAGGAATCGGATCAATGCTTTTATACAAGAGGATGGGGAGAATCTTCATGATGCATGGGAACGATTTAAAGAATACCAAAGGATGTGCCCTCACCATGGAATGGAACGAGATTACCTCCTATCTATCTTCATTCATGGATTAAAGGATGACACTCGATCATGGATCGATGCGGCATGTGGGGGTGACATCTATGACATCCCTTTTCAAGAGCTAGAAGCAACAATTGCAAAGTTGGCCAAAGGACGATGCCATACATCAAATGAGTTCAGTAGGAGGGGCTCAACAAAGGGAGATGCGGGAGAAGGAGCAACACTCAAGGCCGTGTTATCTGAACTTGCTGAGATACAGATACAACTTGCAAACAGTAAGCAAGTAGCAGCTATAGAGGAGCCAAGTTTAGCACAAATCCAACCGGGGATGTATTTGGTCAATCAAGAAGCGGAGGAAGCCAATTATGTTGGTCCAAACCAATACAACCATCCTTCCAACCTATACCATTCTGGGTTAAGGAACCACCCAAACTTCTCCTACAAGAACCAAACAAATGCAATGAACCCGCAATCGACATTTCAATGGAGCAACCAAGGACCCCCGGGTTTTCAATCTAAGTTCCAGCAACAAGTCCAAGGAAACCAAGGTTATCAAGGAACATCGAACTATAGACAACAACAAGAGCAACCAAAAGATCAAGATCCCGAGATCAAGAACATGCTGATGCAAATTCTCCAAGGGCAAAAGTCACAAGGAATCTCTATCGGAAACATCGAGAATGAGCAAATTGTATTCAAAAAGCAATTGGAAGGAGTACAAGCTCATTTAAAGATTTTGGACAACCAAGTGGCACAACTCTCATCTTCCTCGTCGAGACAACAAGGTACTCTTCCGGGAAAGATTGAAGTGAACCCTCGAGAGCACATTAATGCAGTGGAATTGAGAAGTGGAAAGCAACTCCCGGAAATCGGTCCACCCATGAGCGAAAAATCACCAACACCAAGGCTAACAAGGGAAGAGAAAGGCAAAGCGGTGGAAGAAGGCAACTCCACGACAAACACCCAGGAAAAGGAGCCGGCCTACATTCCTCCACCACCTAAGGTACATCCAATCCCTTTTCCCTCTCGTTTGAAAAAGTTCAATGAGGAAAGTCAGTTTGGAAAGTTTGCGGAGATGCTGAAAAAGATGGAGATTACGATGCCATTCCATGAAGCGATTCTCCAAATGCCTTCCTATGCAAAGTTTCTAAAGGATATTTTGACTAAGAAGCGAGTGGTAGAAAAGGAAACGGTGGCCTTAAGCACTGAAATCAGTGTCGCCATTACAAGACATGAGCTCCCTCCGAAGATGTCGGATCCGGGAAGCTTCTCCATACCTTGCAAGTTGGGCAACATCGAGATAGATCGAGCTCTATGCGATCTGGGAGCGAGTGTAAGTCTTATGCCCTTATCGATCTACAAGAAGCTGAATATAGGGGAATTGAAACCAACAAGAATGGCTCTACAGTTAGCGGATCGTTCGATCAAGTATCCAGCGGGGATAGTGGAAGATGTACCCCTGAAGATTGGTGGATTTTACGTTCCGATTGATTTCGTGGTATTGGATATGGATGAAGACTCCAAAGTTCCGATTATTCTTG